CTGGTTTTATAATAAAAGATCGTTTAATTTTATCGAATGCACATGCCACTACTGATGCAACACAAATTCGTTTACGTAAACATGGTGAATCAACAAAATATTTAGCTAGAATTGTACACATTGGACATGAATGTGATCTAGTTCTGTTAACAGTTGATGATGAAGAATTTTGGACAACAAAAACAATTCTGAAACCATTAAAATTTAGTAAACAAATTCCAACATTACAGGAAACATTAATTATTGTTGGATATCCAACAGGTGAGCTCTCTCTGTTTTAGTTTTTGAAAAGAGATGACTACTCTCTCTGTTTCTCTCCTTAAAATTTGTTAGGTGGCGATAATCTATCTGTTACAAAAGGTGTTGTTAGTCGAGTTTCAATGCAACAGTACACTCATGGATGGGGAACATTTTTAGCTATTCAAACTGATTCAGCAATTAATCCAGGAAATTCAGGTGGACCAGCATTACAGGGTAAGTTAAGAGAGAGAGATGTACACCTTTTCTTCGAGAAGAGCTTGAGTTCGGCAGCAGGCGGTCAGTGCTGTTGTAACGGCGTCGAAAGAAAGAAAAGTACATCGGTTGCTGCACTGTTAAAAACCTGAGTTCTTCATGTCTTTCGAGAAAAGCTGAAGAACGGAATTCTGTTCCTCGAATCAATGAGAACAAGAGTTTTTGCTCTTCAAATCGCCTTTGCACTTGAAAGCACGCAGTTTTTCTGTACTTTGGAGAACAGAAAACGAAGAATTTTTTCAACAAAGAACAGGAAAGCAGGTATACTAAGAAATATGTCGCAATATGCTCTAATAAACGTTGTTATTTATTCACATGCACAACAGAAGAAAGAGCACTCGCACCGTGGAAGGCAGGAACAGCAGTATACTCCTAGCCTTATGGTTTGCTTCAGCATGGTTTGAAGAGTCTTTATCGATTTTTGTTTTATTTTCATAACCCATTAAGTTTTGTACCTTTTCGCTCACATCGTTCTCCATCTTTTATTGCAGAGAAACACTTTTAGTCCTTCTAAGGTCTTTTTCTCAAGTTCTAATAACTTGACTTTTAACTCATTAACTCTTTTAGACAAGGAAAATGCGTTTTACATTCTTTTCTTCTTGTCAGCTCACATCTATCACCATTTTCAGAATGCGTCCTCAACACGTTTTTCTTGCAGCAGATTTACTCTGTTTAGAAAACTATTCTGAATGAGTTCGTAAAACTCTTTGCAGTCTTTCGGAGTGTTGCCTTTGCATCTCTACCACGTTTTCCCTTTGAAAACAGCTCACCAGCTGCCTTGAAGCGAAGGATTGTTAGTAAAAAAAAGGCCTTCACCTGTAAAACAAGAAACTGAGAAACATAAGGCTTGTTTTTCAGTTAAAATCTATGATAACATCATTTAATTGGAAGATAACACTTTTGTTCTTCAAAAAATTCAATACTGAAGAACAAAAAATTGGTTATGTATAATAAATAAAAATCATATTATTCGACGGATCCCTTGAATTGTACTTCACCGAAGAACGCAGCGAAATACGGAAAAGCAACGCGAATTTCAAGACATTCATTATGAATAATTCGAACGCATCAGTCGTTCTTCAGCATTTGAAGTTTTTGAAGAGCAAAACTGTCATCTTCTAATTGAATGATGTTATCATAGATTTTTGTTCTTCAGGAAATCAAATGTCTCTTATGTGGATCTCAATTTTCGAAGAATAGAAATCGAGTTTTGCACTTTCTGAAGATTCTGTTTACCAAAATCTTTAGAAAAACACAAACGTGCACTTCATAGGGGACAAATCAAGATCTTTTCTTTGTTTTCTGAAGAGATCGTATTTCGAACAGTGTAGATCTAATCCAGCCTAGGAATACATCACTTTCGATTTGCTTTGAAGTATTGACTCAAAAGGTTTGAATCATCAGAAGTATTGTTCTCAAAAGGGTTGCTAGATAAGCCTTTCAACAATTCAAAACGTTTTGATTGTCAATACTTTTGAACTTCAAAGTCCAAAACAAAAGTTTATTTTACGCAATTTAGGTTGTTTTATTTTCTTAACGGTCTTTTTCTCGCTAAAAAATGAATTTTAGTGGGTTTTCACGAAGTTTTCTGGAAGCTCCACAAGAGCAAAAACTGCGCATACTTTATTTCTAACAAAAGTAGGCTTTCGTTTGTTCTTACAGTCGAAATAAACAAAACAATGCCAAAAAAACGTAATACTTTCCTAACAACAAGTATAATTAAGCTGTAGGCATTAGGTACAAAATAAAACCGTAGTAAGCATGCATAATAGCAACTAATTGAGTTTTTCATCGGTGGAAATGTATACATCATACACTTTATAGA